CTGTCTGTATGCCTGTCCTGTGGGTGTCTGTCCCTGTGGGTCTGCCTGTCACACAGTGTGGCTGTCTGTATGTCTGTCCTCGTGGGTGTCTGTCCCTGTGGGTCTGCCTGCCTCTGCACGCTCCTGGCTGTGTCCAGGCTGCTTGCCTGTCGTCGATATTTTACACTTTATTTCCATCCTTTTTGTGATTTTCTGATACCCTTTGTATGACAACGGCCTCTTTCTGTTACAATTTCTTAAAATACAGAGATTTCTGAGTCAGCCTCATAGACTCTGGGCTGAATAGTTTTATGTCAACCTGACACAAGCTATCGTCATCTGAGAGGAGGGAGCCTCAGTTGAGAGAATGCCCCCATTATGATCAAGAGTGCATGCAAGGCTGCAGGGCATTTTCTTAACTAATGATTGATGGGGAGGGCCCCGCCCATTGTGGGTGGAGCCAGCCCACTGTGGGTGGAGCCATCCCTGGGCTGGTAGTCTTGGTTTCTATAAGAAAGCAGGCTGAGCAAGCCATGGGGAGCAAGCCCGTAAGCAGCATCCTCCATGGCCTCTGCATCAGCTCCTGCCTCCAGGTCCGGGCTCTGACTTCCTTTAGAAATGAACAGCAATGTGGAAATGTAAACCCTTTCTTCCCAAGTTGCTTTAGCTCACGATGTTAATCACAACAACAGAACCCCTAACCAAGGCAGCCTCGGTCCCATCTGTGTCACCAGGTGCCTGGCAGCCCCACCCAGGTGTGTCCTACCTGCCCCCGTTCTGGTGCTGGTCTGCCCAGGTCCCATACTGGCTGTCAGCTTCCTGCACGAGAGTGTCAGTATCCTTGGCCTCGGGTGCTCGCCGGGAGAAACACTGCTTCAGCTGGTTCTGCAAGGACATGAGGAAGGGTTCAGACACAGTCACACACCCCACAGCACCCGGCTCCCCACTGCCCTCAGTCGGGACTTCCCATGTCAGGACAAAGGAGACCAATGCCCCAGTCTGCTGAGACAGGACAGGAAGCAGTGCTTTCTGGGCTTAGATGGGCACTCAGGGCAGACTGTGTCTTGGTTTAGTATGAAATGTCCCCTGTGGTGCCTCTGTGTGAACACTTGGTCTCCATTTGGGAGGTTATGAAATCTTTGGAGCATAAGGCTTCACCAGTAGTGTGGGCTGCTGGAAGCCGGCTTAAAATGAATCTGTCCTGCTTCCTGTCCAAGCTCTCTGCTTCCAGATCCTCCATGTGAACAAACTTCTAACACCAAGGACCAAGCAGCTCCTGTGGCCAGGCCTTCCCACCACAGTGGGCTTTGCTCTCTGGAGCCGCGGACAGAGAAAACCTCCCCTCCATTAACCAGAATCTCCTCAGTTAACCAGAATCCCCTCAATCAACCAGAATCTCCTCAGTCAACCAGAATCTTAATACAGTGCAAAGAAAAGTAACTTATCAAAACCATGTATAGAATCCTGATGGGCGTCACCTGGTCCTGTCAGTGCCCCTGTCTAACACAGTGCAGCCTATCTCCTCCCTCCTCAACGCTCTAGAAACACCAGGCAGGCCTGTTCCCACTTTCCAGTTTTACCAGACCACCTCCCAGCACTGTCCAGCCCAGTACCCACACAGCAGTGACCCTGAGCCCGCATCAAGTCACCTGACACAAGGCTACTTCATAGAGGGAAAGTGATGCCCTGGACCAGTGTTGTGACTTGCAGGCTGGGAGCAAGGGGGCAGGTCATCACAGAGCTGGCCATGGGCCCTGTCTAGTGCCTTGCATCAGGGGTGGCTCATGAGTCAGCATGACACCTGCCCTGCTGACTTCCCCACTCATCCGGATGGTACAGGAAAGGCCTTGTCTTGTCACCATGGAAACCAGCCACTGTGCCCTGGAGCTCTCAAGAATCACCAGAAGTGGCCTTGGGTGGGCTGCTCGCTCACAGTGATTCAGATGGCCTCCCCGTCTGGCCTTTCACGACTCTCCCAGTACTGTCTTTCAATGAGGACTCTGGAGATGGGGGATGAGGAGGGAGAGCACACTGGCATGGCTACCCCCCACTTCTCAGCTGAGCCACAGAGTACAGCAGCATCAGGAACACCCTTTCTGGGTCACCTCAGGGACAGGGCCCATCTCTGTTGCAAAGGAGTTACAATGGGAGCTGGGGCCGGGATGAGGGGGACGCTCATCGGTAGAGCATCTGTCAGCATCACATACACTCACTCATACAGTCACGCCTGCGTGCACACACACCCTACACATTCATACGGACACATATGCATACACACATGCAGACACATGCACACTCCACACATTCATACAGACACATACACACACACATGCACACACACCCTACACATTCATACAGACACATATGCAGACACACAAGCACACACATTCATACAGACACATACGCACATACCCACACATGCAGACACACACATTCATACAACCCACACATTCATACAGACACAAGTGCACACAACCCACACAGACACGTATACACACACATACCCTACACATTCATACAGACAGAAACATATGAATACACCCATACACACACAGGCACACATGCACACAACCTACCCCACACAGACACCCTACACATTCATACAGATAGACACATATGCATACATGCACAGACATACATGCACACACCCTCCACATTCATACAGACACACATGCACACACCTACATATGCACACACAGAGAGACACACAACCACAGTGAACATGTGTAAATAACCATCACCCAAATAAAACATCCTGATTGACTCTAGTCTGGGATTTTCTTTGAGTCGGTCCCTTCACATGCTCGCTCCTCAGTGGCCAGAGAACAACCCTCTGTGTGGGACACAGTTCCAGTCACACTGGAGTCCCAAGGGTGGTGACTGCTAAGCAGCTGGCTGGTTTGAAACAGTCAGCCACAGGCTATTCATCCGCACACTGTCAGAGCATCTCAGTGTGCACTCCCCAAGACACTGAATGAAGTGTGACCCAAGACAGGCTGATGGCTCTCCTGGCCTGAGACAGCACAGGGAATGGAACACAGCACACTATGGGGTGGTGGGAGCTCCAGCTGGGTCAATGCTTGTATTTTTGCATCCCAAGGCACATGGGACATGTTCCACAGCCTGCCACCCTTGGAATTCTCTCTGGGACTCAAGATGGAGCAGATGCCACAGATCTTCCCTGACTCCACCCAAGGTCAATGCCAAAGCTTTTCTGGGAGCTCTCATGGCTGCAAGGCCCCACACAGTCTGCCACAAAGCCTTCTGGGAGCTCTCATGGCTGCAAGGCCCCACACAGTCTGCCGCAAAGCCTTCTGGGAGCTCTCAGGGCTGGAAGGCCTCACACAGTCAGCCGCTTCCCAAAGGACTTGCAACTCTTACACTTTCTAGAAAGCCCTACATCCAGAGTTCACCTGAAGCCAAAACCTTCTGCTGATTGAGTGTTGTCTCAGCTTTGCCCAAGCTCACTAAGCATAGGCGATGCCAGGCAAGCAGGCAGGCAAGCACGCAAAGGCCTCTGAAGCAGCTGCCTCCTGGCCTACACTGGGTTAGAGCACGTCCCTGTCCTGTTTTTCTGGTGTACACTCTGTGGCCAACAGCATCCTTTTTGATGCAGACAGTGGGGTGTCCTCCCCGGCCAATTGCTCTCTTAGGAGACAAGAATAACTCCATGGTGACTTCCTGTGACATAAATGGTAAGACTTTACAGTGGCTGTGGCCCTTTGCACAGGTCTGGTTTGGATAGGAGCTGAGACCTCTGGTGTTTAAGGAGAAAATCCCATATCAGTCAAAGGTAGAAGAGACAGGATGAGCCTGAAGGTAAGATAAGGAAAACATCTGCGCCCTGAAGGTGGCCTCTCCTTAAGACCCCCGGAAACCGCTCCCTCCCTTGCTGCAGGGGCTCACAGAGGCTAAGCCAGCGGCTCTCAGGGTTCTAAGTCAAAGTGTGGCTTCTTCCTCCCGACAGCAGCACAGATGTTAAACTCACCTGTCTGAGCCTCAGCAGTTCAGGCCCCTCCCTCCGAAGCCTCCCTGTTTGTGACTGAATGCTAAGCTCTGCTTTCCTGAGAAACCAGGTCCTTCTCTTTCTTCTCTTCTATCTCCCTCCATAACGCTGCAAGCCTCCACCCGCCCTGCACTGCTATGTCCTCTCTCGGCCCCCAAAGGAATGAAGAACCTGCAAAAGACACCTTGTGTTTCCTGGTGACCCAGGCTGGTGCATGTCTGAAAACACATAAGAAGGTTGGTGGGATTGGTTCATGCCTATAATCCTAGTACTTAGGGGACAGAGGCAGGAGGATTGCCATGAGTTTAGTGCTAGCCTAGGCCACGTACTGAGTTCTAGGCTAGCCCCATCTCAAAAGAGAGCTAAGTCTTGGTAGGAACAAGTCAACACCTCAGCCCCTGTAGTAGTTCTGCTAAGTCTTAAATCAGGGGAACCAAATCCTGGACGTCAGACCCCGGGTGGGGGGGCGCCCCTCAGAGGCCACTCAGTCTGTACTTCGCCTGCAGAGGAAGAAACCAAGACACAGGAACAAAGCCAACTGTAGCTTTCAGTTTGCAAGATGGGTGAGCGGCAGGGCCCGGAGGTGGGGGGTGGCTCTGTCTGTGGGACCCACAGCTCTTTTCAGACCCCCACTCCCTCAACCTATTTGCTCTACCTTTCCCACAATGCTTCAGGAGGTTCTGATCAGGAGACACACAGGAAAGCAATGTTGTGAAAACCCTCAGGAAAGGCTGGGTGGCAGCGCACACCTTTGATTCTGGCACTCGGAAGGCAGAGGAAGGCTGATCTCTTGTGAGATCAAGGCCAGCCTGGTCTACATAGGGAGTTCTAAGACAACCAGAACTACACAGAGTAACATTGTCTTGAATGAACGAAACAAAGAAGGGAGGAATGGAGGGAGGGAGAAAGGAGAGAAGAGGAGTCAGGAATCTGGGATTTGAAAGCCCACTAGCTTGGCCCAGCAACTGACAAGCTCCAGAAACACAGTGGGTGGAAGTTCCTCCCCAAGGTTTGCACTGAGAGACCAGGCTAGCACACACCCCTAAGTCTATGTGGAAACAAGTCAGAACATTTGTCTCCCAGTTTAAAACCTGCAGGTTTAGCTGAATCATCAGGGTTAGTCACAGAAGTTCATCTCAGGCAGACAAGCAGGCATATTCGGCAGGTTCCCGCACACAGCCGCTCCTAGCAGGATCCACCATCATTGCAAAACATGAACAACAGTCTAAGCCGAGAAGAGGGTGTAGACCACAGAATATGGAGTCCACACTGTGCGATAAAAACAGCGTGCATACAGAACATTTATCATCACGGTGTCCGAAGGGTCCCGAGGACTGTGTGCCAGGAAAGTATCTTGTCTAGAGAAACTAGTACACGTGGGTGTGAGCAAACAAAACATAGAGGTTCCACGGCAGATCGGCTCACACTCAGTTGTGCTAGGAGTGAGATCGTCCCTTACAGACTGCGACTTTACTTAGCACGCACACACGCACGCACGCACGACACTTCACCTTGTGAATGACCCTGAAACTGAACAAAGCAAATCTGACTCCTTCCTGCTGTCATGTTGTACAAACTGTCAACTTGGCAGGGTCTAGCATCACCCAGGAGAGGCACCTGTGGGTGTGTCCGTGAGGGGTTGGTGGGAGATCCTCACTATGCAAGGGCAGCTGTATCCCACGGGTTGGGCTCCCAGACTGAGTAAGGAGGAGACAGTGAGTTAAGCACCAGCGTTCCTCCCTCCCTCCTTCCTGATTGTGGGTACCACGTGACCTCACTCTCTGGCTGCTGGGCCTTTCAGCCATGATGGGCTCCAGCCGTGAGCCTCAGGCTGCCTTGCTTGGGTATTTTGTCAGTGACAGTGAAGCGAGTGATACAT